CAGGACGCACGCGCAGGCGACGCCCCGAGTGAAGACAGCGCCGGAGGACGGCTCTGAAGGAGGAGGACCCGTGGCCCGAGGGCGCCCGGCCGGCGCCGCCCGCCCCTCTGCACGAGACCCTCGTCCCGCCCGGGGCGCTGGAGGAGGGGGGCAAACGTCGTCGCCCCATTCCCTCCCGCGCACGCACACGACCGACTCGCAGTCGCCTCCCCTCAGGCGCCGTGGCTAGCCGCTCACCATGTTTCCGGAAGCGAAAAGGAGCGAGCAAGAGAGCAGGAATGGCGAGAGGCGCTGCTACCGCTGCCGGAATCCGACTGAACGCGGCCTCTCCCGGCCCCTTCCGTTTAGTACGAACCGCACAATGAGGGGCGGGGCGGGCTTCCGGCGCTCTCCCCGCGGGCCGACGGGAAATGGAGTCCGCGGTCCCTGCGCCGTCCTCGGGCTGGCTGGGTAACAGGGTCTAGGCGCCGCGTTGCATGCCGGACGTGTAGTCCGCGGCCGCCGGCGGGGCGGGGCCCTGGCTCGGAGAGCTCGCCCATTGGCCGGACGTCCCAGGAACCGCCGCGAGCCGAGCCCAGGGCCCTGTATTCGGTAACATGACCTGAAAATGAGTCCCGACTTCTCGCCTCTTTACCCCGTAGCCAAGCTGTTTTCCTAAGATCCATCTGGCATTTTCTGGTGTCCTTGGTCAGAAATTTTCCAGTGAGTTAGTATTTTGCATTGGCCTGGATTGCAGACCTATAACAACGAGAAGCACAAGTATAAGTCTCCAGTGCAATTCAGTGCACCCCCACCATGTGGAAAGCCACGCTTGTCTCCTGAAGAAAGTCTTCAGACAGCTTTAATAAAATTTGATTGAGAGGAAAAAAGCAAGGAAAAAGCTTTGGAAAGTAGTTTTATGTTTGTTTGGAAAATGTGGCAAATTCATGAGCCAATAAAACAGGGCTGTGCGTGCAAGGATTCTTTTTGTACCTTCTGGACAGTGAAAGGACAGATTTTAAACCAGCCTTGCATCCCATCCTCGAGTTGATAGCTAAACATGCGGTTAATTCAATACTTGCAAAATTTGAGACACGAGCTCTGTGGGAACATAAGCTTTTTTAAAAAGAAGCAAGCTGGGGGAGGGGGGCTCCGGGAAGATTCCCTTGCCTGAAACACTGACCACGGCCTTCCACTCCGCCGGAAGAGAAGACAGGGTCGTACCCAGGGAACTGTGGGCACTGGTCTCAAACGTAGTGAGCAGAACAAGAGCTGGAAGCCAGGTTTTACCACCCGCGAAGCGACGCCCGGGAGCGGGTTGCTTCGCAGAGCATGTCGGGGGTTGTAGTCGGGTGCACCCCGCCACACCACCCACCCACCGAGCTCCGGAGACACCGGGAGGCCGCAGCTACACCCCCCTACTCCCACCCTCGGCCGGCTGCCCGGCCAGAAGGGGAGCACAGCTCCACTTTTCTCGAGCCTGCGAGTTTCCAGGAGCAACGCAGAGGGGGAGGGAGACTTTGCAGTTACCCTGGAGACGCGCTCCGCCCGCCGCTGGCCGCGGGATGCCCTAGATGTCCTTATTAGGACAAGAGCCTGGAGGGGGCGGGGCCAACCCGGCCGCCGGCTGCGGACGCCTTATAAGGCAGCGTCGGGCGGGAGCGGGCGTTGCTGAGAGCAGGGGGTGCCTGGGAACGGGCGGAGCCTGGCTGGGGCGGCCCTGGGGCGCCAGCCCCGCCTCGCAGCTCCAGCAAGGCCCCAGATCTGCTCCCGATTTCCGCAGCGGCTGCGAACAGCTCGTGCTCAAATCTATGTGTGTACCTCGACCTAGGGCCTCTTTGCATAATTTTCATGTTAAACCTGCCTAAGTCGAGTCCCTCACCTGCAATGAGTCACAAAAACAGCCAAGCGTAGTCCCTTTCCACCTCTGTACTGGCTTCTTGACCTAAGCCCGCTTGCCTAAATCCAACATCGTGCCCATTTCTGACACACCCCCGCCCCGCCACCTGCCAGGATGTCCAACACCTCCCCTGCTCATCCCCTGACTCCTGCCCCGACCTGACCTTCCCTGTGAGTCCCCAACTTGGCAGTCTTTCCCACTTCCCTGCGCTCGGGAATCATTTCCTCCGAGAGCTCTACAGTTCCTCCTGCTTTACCTCTGTGTTCTCAACGCCTGTGCAAATATCCCCGCGCCTCTCGCCCCTCCCGCCCCCCACCTCTCGGACTCCAGTCCAGCCGGGCTTGGGTCCCCGGGGCTGAAACGGACACCCTTCCTCCCGGCAGCCCTCCCAGCCGCGGGGAGGCGCCGTCGCACTCTCCCCTGGACGAGGAGAACCCGCTCTCGAGCCGGCAGAAGGAAGGGGCGGGGTAGGGCTCCCGAGGCCACGGTGGGGCGTCGTCAGGACTGGTCCCGGGCTGCTGCAGGCGGGCGGGCGGGGGCGTCAGGCGTCCGAGCGCGCTCGGCACGGACCGCCTGGAGTAGCGCAGGGGCGGGGGGGCAGCGGCGGCTAGACTGGGTGCCCCGCCGGGCCCACGTGACTGGAGAGGCCCCGCCCGCGCCAGGTGCTCGGATCCCGCCTCCAGACCTGGCCGCGTCCAGTCCGGCCAGCGTGAGGCGCCACAGGACCCAGCCTGCGGCCCATGGCAGCGCCGGTGCGCCTGGGCCGGAAGCGCCCGCTGCCCGCCTGCCCCAACCCGCTCTTCGTGCGCTGGCTGACCGAGTGGCGGGACGAGGCGGCCAGCAGGGGGCGTCGCACGCGCTTCGTATTTCAAAAGGTGGGTGCGGCGGAGCCTGCGGGGGCACGTCCGGCCCGACCGGGCTCGCCCTCACCTGGCTGGGTACCCTCCGCCCCCGCCAGGCCCTGCGCTCTCTCCGGCGGTACCCCCTGCCCCTGCGCAGCGGCAAGGAGGCCAAGATCCTCCAGCACTTCGGAGACGGGCTGTGCCGCATGCTGGACCAGCGCCTGCAGCAGCACCGAGCCTCGGGCGGTGAGCGCGGGCCCTTGCGCCTCCCCAGGTGCAGCCTCTAACCAGTCTGAGTTCTTGGCCTCAGGCGCCTCGCGCCAGCCCGCGTTGCTGTGGGACCTTGGGCTGAGTGGCAGGGCCCCAGCGCCTCACCGCTCTCACCTACCACCAGAGCGGGCAGCGTCGCTGGGTTCCTAGCACCCAGGAGCTGACCTTCTGCCTCTGCAGGTGACCAAGTCCCAGGCTCATCGTCTGGTATGGAGAGTCCAGCCCGGGAAGGACCACACGCCGAAGTCCAGGACCCTCCCCTGCCAGTGAGGAGGGGCAAAGGGGAGTAGAAGAGCAAGTTGGGGCCAGCGGGCGCGATTTTTTGGATTAGGGGCTCAGCAGGCCTGCACCAAGATCTCCCCACCAGGAACACCCGGTCTTGGGCCCTCTGTATAGAGGAACAGTGATTCATCAGAGTCAGCTGAGGGTTCCACAATCAAACGTTTTAGGGGACTGAGCCCAGTAAACTATAGGGTTGCCGTTACTAAGTCTGCTTGGGTTACGCGTTTGTCTGCAGTGAGTGCTGGAGCTGAGACTGGCCAGCAGCTACGCACCCCCATCCCACGCCGCCCTGCAAGCATCTCCTCCCCGCTTGACAGGGCTTCCCATCATCACGTGCTTTTAGACAAGGACCCTGAGACGCAGCTGTGTGTGATTTGCATGCGACCCCATAGCTTGTTGAGGTAGCACCCGCACTCAGTCCAGTCAGGGATTCTACCGGCTGTAGAGGGGCGACCTGGCTTTGGGTTCAAAGCCCGTCTGTACCTTTTAGGTTCTGCGCAAACAGGGAGGCTCGGGCAGCTACTGGCCCACGCGGCACTCGGCAGCCCGCGCAGTGCTGCTGCTGCTCTACAGGGAGCACCTGGTGAGTGCCCGGCGCCACCTGGGGTCAGGGGAGCCCCAGGGAGGGGCTGGCCCGGGCACTGGCCCGCCTGGGTGTTACTTCGCCTGTTACAGACTCTGGGCGGCCACAGCTTCCTAACCAAAGAGGAGTTGCTGCAGCGATGTGCCCAGAAGGCTCCCAAGGTGAGCAGTGAGGTGGGCCAGGACCTTGTGGCTCCGCCCTGGCCCCCCGCAGCTACCCTCTCTGGGGACAGGCTCGGGCTCTAAGGGTCTCTCCCCTGGACAGGCGGCCTCCGGGAGTAGGCAACCCTGGCCAGCCCTCCGCTCCCTCCTCCACAGGAACCTGGTCCTCAGGACACATCAGCCAGCCCGGTGAGAGGGACAGGCGGCAGGGAGGGGCGCTGCCGTCCTGTGGCTCCCAGGCCTGTCTGCTGGGGGAGGGAAGGAGGCCTGCCCTGTGAGCCTCCCTCCGGGCGGCTCTGAGAGTTGAGTGTGGCTGGGAGGGAGCCACAGGCTGGGCGATGACAGGCTTTGATGAGGACACAGGCTGGTCTCGGACCTCCTTCTTACTGCAGACCTGAGAAACACGCGCCTCCGCCTCGTGGAGGAAAGCCCATGGGGGAAGGGCCTGACGGGGTCGGGGGACCCCCGGACTTGTTTCTGCAGAGGTGCCAGTGGGGTGATGAGGCCCGCCTGGCTCAGGGGGGAAGGGACATGCCAGGTGGGAGTGAAGGAGATCTGTGTTCACCCACCAGGTACTCCCTGACCCCGGAGGGCCTGGAGCTGGCCCAGAAGCTGGCTGAGTCAGAGGGCCTGAGCTTGCTGAATGCAGGCGACCCTCTGGAGGAGCCCCGGGGGGAGGAGCCCCGTGGGGAGGAGCCCGAAGCGCCAGGAACTACCTCCGATGAGCTGTGAGCAAGGGATGGGGGAGGAGGAGGGGCTGGCATGTGCCATGTGCCGACAGCCCTCCC